AATCACGATTATTTTGGTCATAATTGTAATCACGATTATTCAAAACGATTATCAGTTGAGGTCAAAATTATTAGCGCTCCTGAGATTTTTTTTTTATAAATATTTCCCAAATTATGTTTAACAGAGCAAGGAATTTTAACAGTATTTCCTAAAATATTTTTTCTTCTATTTGTTTTATTTTAGCTTTAATTAAGACAGGTTTAAATATTTTGAAACCAATTTGAGGTCAATATTATTAGCCCTCTTAAGCAATATATATTTTTGATTGTCTGCAGAAGAAACTACGGTTATACAATGACTTGCCTAATTACACAGCCTTTGAATTGCACTTTAATCTGAATGCTTGTAATATCTAGTAAAATATTATGTGCTGTAATCATAGCAAAGATAAAAGAAATCATTAATTAGAAACGAGATATCAAAACTATTATGTTCAGAAATAAGTTAAGATATTTCCATGAAACAGAAATTGGGGAGGAAAAGGGTTGCTAATATTCAGGAGGGCTAATAATTCTGACTTCAAGTGTATACATACAGTTATTTCCACCTTGCAAAGGAAAGAGAAATAAATACAATAGAATAAAAATATGAAACAAACTGTGCTTTAAGCATCTATACTGTAAGAAAAACACTTTAGCTACAGCAGTCCTTCAGTCAAGAGCAGCGAGGGTTTTCTCGTTGTTTGATTAATAATCATAAAAACAGGCGGCAGTAGGAATATTTCTCAACTCGTTTGTTTATTACACAAATAAGGGTTAATATGAATAATCACTAAACACCGCGTTTTGACACCTATTTGACCATTAAAGCGTTCACGTTAAGATGACTTTAGATGTTTGCGCTCCTCTGCTCCTCTCAGTGTGTGAATGAGAGCGAATGCTGACCGACCGCATATGCTTCTGACTGCGTGTGCGTGCTGCACACACACATAAGTACGCGCTCTTTCGTGCTTTTAAGAGCAACACGTGTACAACTGGAAACTGGCGGTATATGATGCAATAATCATTTATCTCGATTAATGCTTTTTTATAATCGTTTGAAGCCGAAATCGGATTTTTGATTAATTGCAAAGCCCTATGTAAAAGTGGAGCACTTTTATGCCTTTTTCTACCTCAACACTTATCCTCTCCCGCGCCCCCCTTGTGAACTCTGGTTGGGAACCACTGATTTAGGTAATCCTAACAGACCTAAAATAGTAAACGTTTAATATGATTTACCATCAGACATTAAAAAAAAAGTTATGTTCCTTTTTTTAGAGTGTATGTAAACTTCTGGTTTTTACTGTATATTGTTTGTAATCACTTACCTTAGAGAAATTAAGTAAATGCAATGAATCATATTTCAGTGCAGCGCTGAGAGAAATACTCATGGATTATTAGACAGTAATGCTGCTGATTCACAGGTCATGATATCCTCTAGTTCTTCTTTTCGGAGATTTCTTTTGCAAGCAGGAATTTGATCTGCATCCTGAGTGTAGATGGGAGTTGTATTTATTTTCTTTCCATTTGCGCCTGCTCCAGGTTTAAAAACATGGACTTCCAGATGAAGGATCAGCTGTTTAATCCCACTGGAGATGTTGGAGCTGATTTGCTTCCTAGAAAGCTTCTGTGGGATGTTTCTTTAGACTGAAATATGATCATACACACGTCAGTGTAAGTGTGTGTAGGTCGACCACATGAATACAGCTCTTTATTTAAAAATATGCTCAGGAAATCCACTAAAAATATCTCTACACAGAAGATATCTGTCATTGATCCCAGTTGTAAGAGCAACACAAAATAACGTGACTTCTAGTTCATCTGGAAAAGTGTCAGAAGGTGGATTTTTCCCATGATTTTCTGTTGATCTGCATCTCAATCATCACCAATGCTGCAGAAGATACTGGAACCAGCATGGACCAAGATTCTCAGAGAAATCAGTCAAGTTTGGTGAAGGAGAAATCATGGTTTGGGCTTGCACGCCTAATGGAAAGAAAAAAACTTTCACATTTTGCTGTGTGTGTGTGTGTGTTTGCGCGTGTGCGGTTCTTTACTGACACCATGTGTGTGGATCTTGTGAGAAAATATGGGAAAAGTCCTACATGACGGTAATAGTTTGATCGCGGTGTTTACTTCAATAATGCCACTAATATCTGCATACTCCACATGTCTTAACTCCATTTCTGTTTTGTTCAGTTATGACTTTAGTCGGATTAAGGTGATCAAAAATGGCTGTTTGGAGCTTATGTAGGCCGACAGCTCAACATTCATGTTTCACAGAATAAACAGTGAGTAAACACAAGCACATATTTTTAAACATAATTTATTTTTATCACCAATTATCAGAGTAGAACAGTTTCTCAAGCACTTTGTGATGCATTTTGGAAACAGGAGATGAGCCCCTGGTCTAATGCGCCACCTGGCTGGAGAAACCCGTTGTCAAAGACTTATTATGTGGGTAGCACACATATCCTCAATGCATTCGGCAGAAGTCAAATGAACCGTTTTAATCTAAATTAATTCCAAGATTAAAGTGAGATTAATCTAGATTAAAAATCAATCTATACCCACTAATAAAGTGTATGTATATATATACATTTAAATAGGCAAAATTACAAGTTTCAGTATTTTAAATGCGATTAATCGCTATTAAATTTTTAAAAAAGGTGCGATTAATTAGTTAATTTTTTTTAATCGATTGACAGCACTAATATATATATATATAATCATTTTAATCAGAGAGATTAAAGTGAATCGAATTTGAGTGAATCTTCAGAGCTGTGTGGTCAATTGTTGTCCCAGAGAAATGCATTGACTCCCAGAAGGAACCGTTTATCATCAGCCGAGGAAAGCAGTTTAATTACACGCTGAGATAATGTGTTCCTAAATAACCCTTCAGTCTCGGAAACTCAACATCCACACAACCTCATCCAAGCACAGCACAGGTTTAAGTCACTCACACTCTCAGGCGCAGTGTTGCTGGATTTATTATTGCTCGTGTAGACTGGAAGGAATGGATGGTGTGGTTAATAGGGGTAGCTGTGCTTTATTAGTTTCTTTAAGGCCATGTCCACACTGTTTTTTCACTGTTATAATTTCAAACTAGCACAAATGTCAATGTTTTTTAAGGGGACAGGTTTCATTCAGTCATTTCATGAAGATTTATGGCAGTAATGTGATTAAGGTGATGTTTCCACAGTCGGTTTTACTCAGAAGGCGAGTGTGTTTGTGGTATTCAGCGCTGTGATAACTCTCAATAACTCAATTTACAAACAAGATGCTGGAGGAAGAGTGTCCTGCCTAATAGAGCTGAGCACAATGGGCTGTGTGTGTGTTTATGCATGTGTGTGTGTGTGTGTGCAAGCGAGCGAGAGAGAGATGGCTGAGGGCTCTTAGTGTTTGTGTGCTTATGTGCTTGTGTTAATGTGTGTTTGTGTGTGTGTATGCGCGTTTGTGTCTATGCATGTGTGTTTATTTGTGTTTTTGTGTGTTCTTGAGTGTGTCTTTGTATATATGTGTGCGTGTGTGTATGAGATAGTGTCCTCAAACTCTGAAACATTCATTCCAATGTGTGTGTGTGTGTGTGTGCTTCAGTGTTTATGTGCACATGCTTGTTTGTGTGTGTATGCGTGTTTGTGTGTATGTCTGTTTGTGTCTATGCATGTGCGTTCATTTTGTGTTCTTGTGTGTTCTTGAGTGTGTTTTTGTATTAATGTGTGCGTGTGTGTATGAGAGTGTCCTCAAACTCTGAAAGGTTCAACCTAGCGCGTGTGTGTGTGCACATGCTTGTTTGTTTGTGTTTGTGTGTATGCGTGTTTGTCTGTATGCGTGTTTGTGTCTATGCATGTGTGTTTATTTGTGTTATTGTGTGTTCTTGAGTGTGTCTTTGTATATATGTGGCGCGTGTGTGTATGAGAGAAAGTGTCCTCAAACTCTGAAACGTTCATCCCAATGTGTGTGTGTGTGTGTGTGTGTGTGTGTGTGTGTTTGTGTGTGCTTCAGTGTTTATGTGCACATGCTTGTTTGTGTGTGTATGCGTGTTTGTGTATGTCTATTGTTTGTTTGTGTGTCTATGCATGTGCGTTCATTTTGTGTTTTTGTGTGTTTTTGAGTGTGTCTTTGTATATATGCGTGTGTGTGTGTATATGAGAGAGTGTCCTCAAACTCTGAAAGGTTCATCCCAGTGTCTGTGTGTGTGTGTGTG